ATCTGTGTAGAGGATGTTGTATTGGGATGATCTGTGTAGAGGATGTTGTATGTAGATGATCTGTGTAGAGGATGTTGTATGTAGATGATCTGTGTAGAGGATGTTGTATTGGGATGATCAGTGTAGAGGATGTTGTATGGGTATGATCCGTGTAGAGGATGCTGTATGTAGATGATCTGTGTAGAGGATGTTGTATTGGGATGATCAGTGTAGAGGATGTTGTATTGGGATGATCTGTGTAGAGGATGTTGTATGGGGATGATCCGTGTAGAGGATGCTGTATGTAGATGATCTGTGTAGAGGATGTTGTATGTAGATGATCTGTGTAGAGTATGTTGTATTGGGATGATCTGTGTAGAGGATGTTGTATGGGGATGATCCGTGTAGAGGAGGATGCTGTATGTATATGATCTGTGTAGAGGATGCTGTATGTAGATGATCTGTGTAGAGGATGTTGTATGTAGATGATCTGTGTAGAGGATGTTGTATTGGGATGAGCTGTGTAGAGGATGTTGTATGGGTATGATCCGTGTAGAGGATGCTGTATGTAGATGATCTGTGTAGAGGATGCTGTATGTAGATGATCTGTGTAGAGGATGTTGTATTGGGATGATCTGTGTAGAGGATGTTGTATGTAGATGATCTGTGTAGAGGATGTTGTATTGGGATGATCTGTGTAGAGGATGTTGTATGTAGATGATCTGTGTAGAGGATGTTTTATGTAGATGATCTGTGTAGAGGATGTTGTATTGGGATGATCTGTGTAGAGGAGGATGCTGTATGTATATGATCTGTGTAGAGGATGCTGTATGGAGATGATCTGTGTAGAGGATGTTTTATGTAGATGATCTGTGTAGAGGATGTTGTATGGGGATGATCCGTGTAGAGGAGGATGCTGTATGTATATGATCTGTGTAGAGGATGCTGTATGTAGATCATCTGTGTAGAGGATGTTGTATGTAGATGATCTGTGTAGAGGATGTTGTATTGGGATGAGCTGTGTAGAGGATGTTGTATGGGTATGATCCGTGTAGAGGATGCTGTATGTAGATGATCTGTGTAGAGGATGCTGTATGTAGATGATCTGTGTAGAGGATGTTGTATTGGGATGATCTGTGTAGAGGATGTTGTATGTAGATGATCTGTGTAGAGGATGTTGTATTGGGATGATCTGTGTAGAGGATGTTGTATGTAGATGATCTGTGTAGAGGATGTTTTATGTAGATGATCTGTGTAGAGGATGTTGTATTGGGATGATCTGTGTAGAGGATGTTGTATGGGGATGATCCGTGTAGAGGAGGATGCTGTATGTAGATGATCCGTGTAGAGGATGTTGTATGGGGATGATCAGTGTAGAGGATGTTGTATTGGGATGATCTGTGTAGAGGATGTTGTATGGGGATGATCCGTGTAGAGGATGCTGTATGTAGATGATCTGTGTAGAGGATGTTGTATGTAGATGATCTGTGTAGAGGATGTTGTATTGGGATGATCTGTGTAGAGGATGTTGTATGGGGATGATCCGTGTAGAGGAGGATGCTGTATGTAGATGATCAGTGTAGAGGATGTTGTATTGGGATGATCAGTGTAGAGGATGTTGTATTGGGATGATCAGTGTAGAGGAGGATGCTGTATGTAGATGATCTGTGTAGAGGATGTTGTATTGGGATGATCCGTGTAGAGGATGCTGTATGTAGATGATCTGTGTAGAGGATGTTGTATTGGGATGATCAGTGTAGAGGATGTTGTATTGGGATGATCTGTGTAGAGGAGGATGCTGTATGTAGATGATCTGTGTAGAGGATGTTGTATGTAGATGATCTGTGTAGAGGATGTTGTATGGAGATTATCTGTGTAGAGGATGTTGTATTGGGATGATCTGTGTAGAGGATGTTGTATTGGGATGATACGTGTAAAGGATGTTGTATTGGGATGATCTGTGTAGAGAATGTTGTATTGGGATGATACGTGTAAAGGATGTTGTATTGGGATGATCTGTGTAGAGGATGTTGTATGTAGATGATCAGTGTAGAGGATGTTGTATGGAGATTATCTGTGTAGAGGATGTTGTATTGGGATGATCTGTGTAGAGGATGTTGTATTGGGATGATACGTGTAAAGGATGTTGTATTGGGATGATCAGTGTAGAGGATGTTGTATTGGGATGATACGTGTAAAGGATGTTGTATTGGGATGATCTGTGTAGAGGATGTTGTATTGGGATGATCTGTGTAGAGGATGTTGTATTGGGATGATCTGTGTAGAGGATGTTGTATTGGGATGATCCGTGTAGAGGAGGATGCTGTATGTAGATGATCTGTTTAGAGGATGCTGTATGTAGATGATCTGTGTAGAGGATGTTGTATGGGGATGATCTGTGTAGAGGATGTTGTATTGGGATGATCAGTGTAGAGGATGTTGTATTGGGATGATACGTGTAAAGGATGTTGTATTGGGATGATCTGTGTAGAGGATGTTGTATGTAGATGATCTGTGTAGAGGATGTTGTATGGAGATTATCTGTGTAGAGGATGTTGTATTGGGATGATCTGTGTAGAGGATGTTGTATTGGGATGATACGTGTAAAGGATGTTGTATTGGGATGATCTGTGTAGAGGATGTTGTATTGGGATGATACGTGTAAAGGATGTTGTATTGGGATGATCTGTGTAGAGGATGTTGTATGTAGATGATCTGTGTAGAGGATGTTGTATTGAGATGATCTGTGTAGAGGATGTTGTATTGGGATGATCTGTGTAGAGGAGGATGCTGTATGTAGATGATCTGTTTAGAGGATGCTGTATGTAGATGATCTGTGTAGAGGATGTTGTATGGGGATGATCTGTGTAGAGGATGTTGTATGGAGATTATCTGTGTAGAGGATGTTGTATTGGGATGATCTGTGTAGAGGATGTTGTATTGGGATGATCTGTGTAGAGGATGTTGTATTGGGATGATCTGTGTAGAGGGGGTGAAGTATTGAGATTCTCTGTGTAGAGGATGTTGTATTGGGATGATCAGTGTAGAAGAGGGTGCAGTATGGAGATGATCTGTGTAGAGGATGTTGTATGGGGATGATCAGTGTCGAGGAGGGTGAAGTATGGAGATTATCCCTGTAGAGGATGTTGTATGGGGATGATCAGTATAGAGGAGGGTGCAGTATGGAGATGATCAGTGTAGAGGATGCAATATGGAGCAACTGTACCAGTGAACCAGTGTAGATGATGCATTATGAAGAGAACCATTTTCGGTGGTGCAGATATGAAGAAAACATTTGTAGATAATGCATTATGAAGAGAACCATTGTGGACAGTGCATTATGAAGAGAACATTGTGGACAGTGCATTATGAAGAGAACGATGTGGATGATGCAGTTTGAAGAGGACCGGTGTAGATGATGTTGTATATAAGAACCAGTGTAGATGATGTTGTATATAAGAACCAGTGTAGATGATGTTGTATATAAGAACCAGTGTAGATGATGTTGTATATAAGAACCAGTGTAGATGATGTTGTATATAAGAACCAGTGTAGATGATGTTGTATATAAGAACCGGTGTAGATGATGTTGTATATAAGAACCAGTGTAGATGATGTTGTATATAAGAACCAGTGTAGATGATGTTGTATATAAGAACCAATGTAGATGATGTTGTATATAAGAACCAGGGTAGATGATGTATCAGAGAACCAGTGTAGATGATGTTGTATATAAGAACCAATGTAGATGATGTTGTATATAAGAACCAATGTAGATGATGCATAAGAGAACCATTTTGGGTGATGCAGTATAAAGAGAACCAGTGTAGATGATGTATCAGAGAACCAGCGAAGATGATGTATAAGAGAACCAGCGTAGATGATGTATCAGAGAACCAGTGTAGATGATGTATAAGAGAACCAGTGTAGATGATGTATAAGAGAACCAGTGTAGATGATGTTGTATATTAGAACCAGTGTACATGATGTATAAGAGAACCAATGAAGATGATGTATCAGAGAACCAGTGTAGATGATGTATCAGAGAACCAGTGTAGATGATGGATAAAAGAACCATTGTGGATGATGCAGTATGAAGAGAACCATTGTGTATGATGCAGTATGAAGAGAACCATTGTGGATGATGCAGTATGAAGAGAACCATTGTGGATGATGCAGTATGAAGAGAACCATTGTGGATGATGCAGTATGAAGAGAACCATTGTGGACAATGCAGTATAAAGAGAACCATTGTGGATCATGCAGTATGAAGAGAACCATTGTGGATGATGCAGTATGAAGAGAACCATTGTGGATCATGCAGTATGAAGAGAACCATTGTGGATGATGCAGTATGAAGAGAACCATTGTGGATGATGCAGTATAAAGAGAATCATTGTGGATGATGCAGTATGAAGAGAACCATTGTGGATGATGCAGTATGAAGAGAACCATTGTGGACAATGCAGTATGAAGAGAACCATTGTGGATGATGCAGTATGAAGAGAACCATTACGAATGATGCAACGTGATGAGTATCAGTGTAGATTATGTTGTATGGGGATTGTTGGTACAGATGGTGCAGATATGAACAGGAACATTGTGGTTGATGCCGAATGAAACGAACCAGTGTAGATGATGACCATAGTGGTGATCAGTCAAGATGATTAAATAAAAAGAAGAACCAGTGTGGATGATGCAGCAAGAGGATGGTCGGTATATGTTGCAAATATGAAGAGAACCAGTGTAGATAATTCAGTATGAAGAGAACCCTTGTAGATGATGTTGTATGAAGAGAACCGAGGTAGATTATGTTGTATAAAGAGAACCAGTGTGGATGATGCAGTATGAAGAGAACCATTGTGGATGATGCAGTATGAAGAGAACCATTGTGGACAATGCAGTATGAAGAGAACCATTGTGGATGATGCAGTATGAAGAGAACCATTGTGGATGATGCAGTGTGAAGAGAACCATTGTGGATGATGCAGTATGAAGAGAATCATTGTGAATCATGCAGTATGAAGAGAATCATTGTGGATCATGCAGTATGGAGGGAACCATTGTGGATCATGCAGTATGAAGAGAACTATTGTGGACAATGCAGTATGAAGAGAACCATTGTGGATGATGCAGTATGAAGAGAACCATTGTGGATGATGCAGTATGAAGAGAACCATTGTGGATGATGTAGTATGCAGAGAACCATTGTGGATGATGCAGTATGAAGAGAACCATTACGAATGATGCAACGTGATGAGTATCAGTGTAGATTATGTTGTATGGGGATTGTTGGTACAGATGGTGCAGATATGAACAGGAACATTGTGGTTGATGCCGAATGAAACGAACCAGTGTAGATGATGACCATAGTGGTGATCAGTCAAGATGATTAAATAAAAAGAAGAACCATTGTGGATGATGCAGTATGAAGAGAACCATTGTGGATGATGCAGTATGAAGAGAATCATTGTGGATCATGCAGTATGAAGAGAACCATTGTGGATGATGCAGTATGAAGAGAACCATTGTGGATGATGCAGTATAAAGAGAATCATTGTGGATGATGCAGTATGAAGAGAACCATTGTGGATGATGCAGTATGAAGAGAACCATTGTGGACAATGCAGTATGAAGAGAACCATTGTGGATGATGCAGTATGAAGAGAACCATTACGAATGATGCAACGTGATGAGTATCAGTGTAGATTATGTTGTATGGGGATTGTTGGTACAGATGGTGCAGATATGAACAGGAACATTGTGGTTGATGCCGAATGAAACGAACCAGTGTAGATGATGACCATAGTGGTGATCAGTCAAGATGATTAAATAAAAAGAAGAACCAGTGTGGATGATGCAGCAAGAGGATGGTCGGTATATGTTGCAAATATGAAGAGAACCAGTGTAGATAATTCAGTATGAAGAGAACCCTTGTAGATGATGTTGTATGAAGAGAACCGAGGTAGATTATGTTGTATAAAGAGAACCAGTGTGGATGATGCAGTATGAAGAGAACCATTGTGGATGATGCAGTATGAAGAGAACCATTGTGGACAATGCAGTATGAAGAGAACCATTGTGGATGATGCAGTATGAAGAGAACCATTGTGGATGATGCAGTGTGAAGAGAACCATTGTGGATGATGCAGTATGAAGAGAACCATTGTGAATCATGCAGTATGAAGAGAATCATTGTGGATCATGCAGTATGAAGGGAACCATTGTGGATCATGCAGTATGAAGAGAACTATTGTGGACAATGCAGTATGAAGAGAACCATTGTGGATGATGCAGTATGAAGAGAACCATTGTGGATGATGCAGTATGAAGAGAACCATTGTGGATGATGTAGTATGCAGAGAACCATTGTGGATGATGCAGTATGAAGAGAACCATTACGAATGATGCAACGTGATGAGTATCAGTGTAGATTATGTTGTATGGGGATTGTTGGTACAGATGGTGCAGATATGAACAGGAACATTGTGGTTGATGCCGAATGAAACGAACCAGTGTAGATGATGACCATAGTGGTGATCAGTCAAGATGATTAAATAAAAAGAAGAACCAGTGTGGATGATGCAGCAAGAGGATGGTCGGTATATGTTGCAAATATGAAGAGAACCAGTGTAGATAATTCAGTATGAAGAGAACCCTTGTAGATGATGTTGTATGAAGAGAACCGAGATAGATTATGTTGTATAAAGAGAACCAGTGTAGATGATGCATAAGAGAACCAGCGTAGATGATGTTGTATAAAGAGAACCAGTGTAGATGATGCATAAGAGAACCAGTGTAGATGATGTATAAGAGAACCAGTGTAGATGATGTTGTATAAAGAGAACCAGTGTAGATGATGCATTAGAGAACCAGCGTAGATGATGTTGTATAAAGAGAACCAGTGTAGATGGTGCATAAGAGAACCAGCGTAGATGATGTTGTATAAAGAGAACCAGTGTAGATGATGCATAAGAGAACCAGCGTAGATGATGTTGTATAAAGAGACCCAGTGTAGATGATGCATAAGAGAACCAGCGTAGATGATGTTGTATAAAGAGAACCAGTGTAGATTATGTATAAGAGAACCAGCGTAGATTATGTTGTATAAAGAGAACCAGTGTAGATGATGCATAAGAGAACCAGTGTAGATGATGTATAAGAGAACCAGTGTAGATGTTGTATAAGAGAACCAGTGTAGATGATGTTGTATAAAGAGAACCAGTGTAGATGATGCATAAGAGAACCATTGTAGATGATGTTGTATAAAGAGAACCAGTGTAGATGATGCATAAGAGAACCAGTGTAGATGATGTATAAGAGAACCAGTGTAGATGATGTTGTATAAAGAGAACCAGTGTAGATGATGCATTAGAGAACCAGCGTAGATGATGTTGTATAAAGAGAACCAGTGTAGATGATGCATAAGAGAACCAGTGTAGATGAAGTTGTATAAAGAGACCCAGTGTAGATGATGCATAAGAGAACCAGAGTAGATGATGTTGTATAAAGAGAACCAGTGTAGATGATGTATAAGAGAACCAGTGTAGATGATGTTGTATAAAGAGAACCAGTGTAGATGATGCATAAGAGAACCAGTGTAGATGATGTATAAGAGAACCAGTGTAGATGTTGTATAAGAAAACCAGTGTAGATGATGTTGTATAAAGAGAACCAGTGTAGATGATGTTGTATAAAGAGAACCAGTGTAGATGATGCATAAGAGAACCAGCGTAGATGATGTTGTATAAAGAGAACCAGTGTAGATTATGTATAAGAGAACCAGCGTAGATTATGTTGTATAAAGAGAACCAGTGTAGATGATGCATAAGAGAACCAGTGTAGATGATGTATAAGAGAACCAGTGTAGATGTTGTATAAGAGAACCAGTGTAGATGATGTTGTATAAAGAGAACCAGTGTAGATGATGCATAAGAGAACCAGTGTAGATGATGTTGTATAAAGAGAACCAGTGTAGATGATGCATAAGAGAACCAGTGTAGATGATGTATAAGAGAACCAGTGTAGATGATGTTGTATAAAGAGAACCAGTGTAGATGATGCATTAGAGAACCAGCGTAGATGACGTTGTATAAAGAGAACCAGTGTAGATGGTGCATAAGAGAACCAGCGTAGATGATGTTGTATAAAGAGAACCAGTGTAGATGATGCATAAGAGAACCAGCGTAGATGATGTTGTATAAAGAGACCCAGTGTAGATGATGCATAAGAGAACCAGCGTAGATGATGTTGTATAAAGAGAACCAGTGTAGATGATGTATAAGAGAACCAGTGTAGATGATGTTGTATAAAGAGAACCAGTGTAGATGATGCATAAGAGAACCAGTGTAGATGATGTATAAGAGAACCAGTGTAGATGTTGTATAAGAGAACCAGTGTAGATGATGTTGTATAAAGAGAACCAGTGTAGATGATGTTGTATAAAGAGAACCAGTGTAGATGATGCATAAGAGAACCAGTGTAGATGATGTTGTATAAAGAAAACCAGCGTAGATGATGTTGTATAAAGAGAACCAGTGTAGATGATGTATAAGAGAACCAGTGTAGATGATGTTGTATAAAGAGAACCAGTGTAGATGATGCATAAGAGAACCAGCGTAGATGATGTTGTATAAAGAGGCCCAGTGTAGATGATGTATAAGAGAACCAGCGTAGATTATGTTGTATAAAGAGAACCAGTGTAGATGATGCATAAGAGAACCAGTGTAGATGATGTATAAGAGAACCAGTGTAGATGATGTTGTATAAAGAGAACCAGTGTAGATGATGCATAAGAGAACCAGTGTAGATGATGTTGTATAAAGAGAACCAGTGTAGATGATGTATAAGAGAACCAGTGTAGATGATGTATAAGAGAACCAGCGTAGATTATGTTGTATAAAGAGAACCAGTGTAGATGATGCATAAGAGAACCAGTGTAGATGATGTATGAAAGAACCAGTGTAGATGATGTATAAGAGAACCAGCTTAGATGATGTTGTATAAAGAGAACCAGTGTAGATGATGTATAAAGAGAACCAGTGTAGATGATGTTTTATAAAGAGAACCAGTGTAGATGATATATAAGAGAACCAGTGTAGATGATGCATAAAGAGAACCAGTGTAGATGATGTATAAAGAGAACCAGTGTAGATGATGTATAAGAGAACCAGTGTAGATGATGTTGTATAAAGAGAACCAGTGTAGATGATGTTGTATAAAGAGAACCAGTGTAGATGATGTTGTATATAAGAACCAGTGTAGATGATGTTGTATAGAGAGAACCAGTGTAGATGATGTTGTATAAAGAGAACCAGTGTAGATGATGTATAAAGAGAACCAGCGTAGATGATGTATAAAGAGAACCAGTGTAGATGATGTATAAGAGAACCAGTGTAGATGATGTTGTATAAAGAGAACCAGTGTAGATGATGTTGTATAAAGAGAACCAGTGTAGATGACGCCGTGCATGTCGGTCTATCTTTATATCATCATGCATTGTCATCTTCTGTGGCATATCTGTACAAGTGGTTTAAGCACTATGACCAGACGTGCTGTGTTCGATCAGTACAGATGTAACCACCCAATCCACGTTGTAGCCGGCTTTGACATGTACAACATCAGGATTTAATCTACTGAACCCTTACATAGTCTCGTGGAGGAAGCTTTTACCCAAATCAAAGAAATAATTGTAAATTAACGGACTCTTTTATCTGTCCTTCCCAGGACCATGGCTCTCCCTGGGTCATTCTTGTACTGGTCATCAGTCATATAAAAAAACGATTTAAGAAAGTATTTGGAAATCAACTCTTGCAACTGTGGTATATAGCTGAGGTCATACAGAAATAACAACTTAATATGTAGCGAGCGTGCATCACAAATACCTGGGACTGCGTTATGTCCATTGCTTGGTGTGTACTTGTTTGACGGCTATGTTTTGTTTGACAGAAAACAGAAATTAAAAACGTTAGTGTCCAGTTTTCAAGAACTTGAACAAAGGGGATGACACTATTTTGAAATCCTTTATGAAAACTACACTTATCCATTTTATGTGGTTGTGGTTGTGATATGGTGGCTTCACGCTGTTTAGCATTCCAGGCGATAGACATAATAACTGGTTATATTTTTTGACGGT